AATAATGTCTATTGACTTGGGTCGTGAAGTTTTGTGACTTTTAAAATAAGGGTCCCCAGAAAAAAAAAGTTTGGGAAACACTGGTGTAAATGAATGTGGTCCAATATTTAGTCTTTGTATTTGTATTCCGTTTGCCATTTCAGTCCAAAGTGTTCTGTACTTACAGAGGGAAATATTTTTCAAAACTTCTCATTTTCTTTGCAGTTAAATTATGGTTGGAGGAGTTTAAATTAACTTCAAATTCTACCCAAAAAAACATTAAAAATTGATTAATCAGGTCCAGGTTATCTGAAAGTTGAGGTTTGAAATTGTTGAAATTTGGTAAGAAAAAAAAGATTAAACTTAAATCCCACAAAATAAATAAATGAAATGATATAGTTTGAGAAAAAAGCTGGAAAACTTTGGGGAAAAAAACTTTACCAAAACCAAAGAAAAATGATAAAACTTCAACAGTTAAATGTCTGCGTTCTGTCTGTGCGTCCCTCCGTCAGACCAAGGTGAGACGGCAGCGTCCAGCGATCAAACCTCGTGTTACAATAACACTGGTAAACAGTTATGTCTGTCCACTCCACTGTGTCCTCCACTCTGGTGACTCACCCATGTCAGACGGGTTCCTTCATCGTCATCATCATCATTTTCTTCATCATCACTTTGCCCCCCTCTGGCTTCTCCCCCAGTCTCTCTGCTCACCCATGTCTCTCTCTCTCTCTCTCTCTCTCTTCCTTTCCTTTTCCCCTCCACAGGCCAAGAAAGATCACAGGGGAGAAAAAAGGCCATTCCTCTGTGATGCCAACCTGTTTCTGCTGACAGTTCCCACACACAACAGGCAACAGGCAGTGGGCGAGAGGGGAAACTACCAGCAGAGAGAGTGAACCCTGACATTAGTCTGTATTAACTCACAGTTTAATCCATTCATAACTCACATGGATTTACCCTCAGTGACATACAGGGTGTCTCGGTGGCTCCTCATCTAACACGTTGTGAAACGTCAATGATATGTTGTCAACACAGATTTACAACACCGCCTTGTAGTGACATATCTTGGTACTGCATCATTTGGGAAATCCCCTGCTGCAGCAGGGCAGAGTGAGGCTCCGGCAGGCAGATCATGCATGAGCTGTTTGGAAAAAAAAAAAATTATAAAAAAAATTACAGAAGGAGAGGAGAGAAAATAACCAGAAGATCAATTACAGAAAAATCTATTTCATTGGATTTTTCCTGTTTTTTGTTTTTCTTGCCTTCTAAGTGCCTTGGTGCCCTGAGCTGGAGATTAAAGGTACAGTTCAAACATATTGGCTTGAATTCAGACCTAGTCAAAAATTATGTGTGTTTTTTTTTTCTAATTTACTTTATACCAGACTCAGTGTCTGCATTAGTGTTGGTAAACACAGAGGGAAGCTTCGACCCCCTCACCTGGTATTATCAGGGTATAGTATCAAAACCTTCTCTATGAAAAGTAGTTGAACGTCGAGCTTGGAAGCCAATCACGTCTGGCAGTTTATCGTAGCTGTTATTTTTGCGAAGTAAAAAAAAAAAATTGCTGATTACAGAGACTGATGCAGTACCGCACCTCAAAATGGTTGGGAAGGCCCAGTCTCCAGGCCCTGCCTTTTTAGCTGTAAATTTCTCTGTCAGTTTTCCTCCATGTGAGACAGCAGTAATATTAAAGTCTGTTTTTATCTACTGTACTGTACAATAATAGTCACGGAAAATATTCGATCTGTGAGTTAGAGTCAAAGAGTTTCAATTACTGAAAAAAAAAATCCTTAAAAACATCACATCAACGTTCTCTTGGCCAAAGATCATGTGAAGTACACCTTCATATACATATATGAAGATATATAAATATATATCTGTATATATTATAGGAGAAACCAACTATATTTGACCGTCTATCATTTTAGAATGGAATCTAATAAAACTTGGAAAAGTGATAGACAATGTTCTCACTTTAAGGTCCGTGTATCTAAAACAAAACCTCTGAACCAAACTTTGTTCAGAATAGGTTTTGAATTTCATTCCAGGTTAAATAAATGCTTCTGCCATGACAATAAATCAGACCAGGTGTGGGTTAAACACCACTCCTAGTATGACACACTCCCTCCAGTCTGTGTGCCCTCTCCATGCCCCTTTCATCACCTCCCACTGACAGAACTCTCGGAGGCCCTACGCTAACGAGACACTTTTGTATAAATGATTTGCATTCCCCTCGACAAACGGAACCCTGTGATCTGCACTCGCTCACTCTTCCTTTCTGCCCCAGAGTGATTGCTCTTAAAAAGCTGATAAAGCTCGGGTATTCTTTTTTTAATTTAATTTATTTAATAAAGTGGCGACGATACGACCAGTGGAATCAGAATCAACTCTTTTTCTGATGCTGCTACAAAACTGTCGCTAGCCCAGATGCTATGCTATGCTGAGCATTTCCTTTTCAAATCAATTCATTTGAGTGACATATGACATATCAACCACCACATTACTGTCCTCCGAGATCTAGACCTATAGATCAGCAGTCCTTCATACCATAGATCACTGCGCACCACATTACATCAGCCGTCACGTCAGCTCATCATCATTTTCATCCATCACTTCTTGACTGAAATAGAAGTACTTCCACGTACATTTGTATCATAATCTGTCTTTTCTTTACTCTGATCCAAAAACTTTCCAGCACCTTTGGGGGCTAATCATTAAAGATCCAAATCTCTGCTCTCTGGAAAAATGAATCTCAATCCAAGGCATTGATTTTTTTGTGTGGATATAATCTCTGTTTCCTGCATTAGTTTGATAAAACATGATGTAGATTCTAATTCTAGCTCACAGCAAGTGAAAGTTCATACTGTGTACTCCGTCTGACTGTATACTCTGACTGTATACTCTGACTGTGTACTCTGACTGTGTACTCTGACTGTGTACTCTGACTGTATACTCTGATTGAGGTGGAAGCAGAAACTTCTGTTCTTATTTGTACAGTTGATTTTAGTCTCTTTTCTTCTTGTTGAAGTAGAGTCCCTTCAGTCATGGCTGGAGGGCAGCGTGTCTCATTCATCTAATCCTGTGACTGTGGGTGGAGACAGGAAGACATGACAGTGATCTTTTACTGTAAGGACGTAGCACTCACCACTCCTCCACCGTGTCACCCTTGTTTTGGTCATCATGGTTGGTCTTATCATGAGAGAACAATCAAAGTGAAGCCTGTCATGACGTCAGACTCACAGAGGGGGGGCGCTGTAGTGAAGTACTGTTACCCTCGCTCCACCCACCTGTGAAACCCCCAGCACTCGGCTCCGTGACCCAGGATGTTCCCTTCCCCGCTCTCTGCCGGTGTTCCTGCTTGACTCACTGCTCCTGTCACAGCTTACGCACAGATGTTTTGCCTGATTGGGCCTTTCCCTGAGGACTGAGCGGACTTGTAAAAATCAGGATTGATTGATGGCTCTGCCGACTCCTGTGTTGTTCTAAGTCACACGGCGCCCCTCTTCACCTCCTCCTGTCATCTTCTCAACTCTTTTCTCACCTTCTGCACTTTCTCCCTCCTCCTTAAACGACACGTGAAGAACACGTCTCTTAAACGGTCGACTTCACACTCTGCTCATCAAAGTGTGTTTTATTGATGATTGACTTTTTTTTTTCATAGTTTTTTTTTTTTTAAATAAAACCTAAAGTTGCCCCGGTGACCTCTAACCTGAACTTCACTGTAGTCACCAATGTAAACATAAATAGCTGTTACCTTTTGTCGCCATTCTTAGCGTCCAGCTGCCACAGTTCTGCATCCTGTCAGACAGGAAGTGAGGGTGCACATGCCATCAGTGGGAGGTGACATGAAAACAAACAAGAGACGGCGGCGAAGCTCCTTAAAGGAGAGACGTCACAGTTACTGCAGTGTAGAACGTGGTCTCGTCAAATCTGAAGTGAAGGAAAGTTCATCTGCTGACAAGAAAACTGAAGTTTCTCTTTGTTTATTTATTCATTTCATTCTGCAGCCTCTCTCTCTCTCTCTCTCTCTCTCTCTCTCTCCAGGGTCAAAGGTGGGACAAAGGAATGTGTTTCCTCTGAACAAAGAAAACGAACATGTCCAGCTCGTACAGTGCAAACTGGGCCAAGGATCTGTCTGTTTTTCCACACAGACTATTTTCACCAAAGTGGCCCTTGGGTTTCAGAGAAAGAACACCCGGTGTAGATGGAGCGGCCGTACCTTTGTTCATCTGGTCGACTTTGTGCATAATATCAACCATTTCTGATGGATTTCTGCTTCGGTTTTAAGCTTTTGTTTCAGTACGTTTTCAAAAGAAATGAGGCAGGACAAAATGCCGAATGACGTGATGTAATTATTATTACAAATAATTGACATCAACAATAACTTCATCTGCAAGAAAGTTGCAAAAAATACACCATCCACAAATACAGATTTCTGCTTCGGTTTTAAGCTTTTGTGTCAGTACATTTTCAAGATATTTTTACTTCAAGAAGAGAAAAAAAGGCATAAAACTGAATTTAAATGAATTTTAAAATTTATTAGCAGAAAAATAATAATAATAAATTTAGTTGTGTAACAATAGCTGAAAACACAAATACAGCAAAGTGTAAAAAAAATTATGCAAAAATTAAATATAAGACTCCAAAACATTAGGAAAAGCTGGCTTTTAAAAAATACTTTTAAAAAATGCTTAAAACACAATTTTAAGCAAAGTTCTAGAGGAAAATACACAGATCTAAACTGACTTGATCAACCAAATGTCAGACAAAATGTTTAAAATGTTACTTTGAGATGAATGTGAGGAAGAAAGTTTAAAAATCTGGTCAAAATGTCTGCCGTGAAAATTAATTTTGGGAAGGACACCGCTGGCCATGTGAGCCCTGCTTGAGTCCCACTGTTTGTCCGTGGGCCAGACTTTGAACACACCTATTGTAAAATCCCTACAATGTATTTTGAATGTGAATGTCTGAAGCTGTTTGTTTTGTTGTTTTGTCTCTATAAACCAAAGTTGCTCAGTTGGAAGTTCCACTTTTCCACTGGTGTTCGGTGGAAACACAGACGAGAGACGACTGCAGTCAATCTTCCCACATGAGACGTGAGTTTTGGACACGCAGGTCAGAGAGTGACGACTTTCCCTTGTAGCTGGATCACAGCTGTAGTTGACCTCTCGCCTTCATCCCAGAGGCACAGCCTGGCTGGAGCCTGTGTGTGTGTGTGTGTGTGTGTGTGTGTGTTCTCGGTGACACGGCGCTGACCCGGTCCACTCTCACCTGTACTTGTCAGTCACTCGTCCAGTCACCAGAGCCCTTCCAAGCCCCGAGGCTTCACACACTCCTCCCATCTGAGACCTTGAAGAGTCTTGACATACTTATGATGAACATTCCTCCGCCCTCAGGTCACAGAGACCCACAGGAGGAAAAGAAAAAAATCAAAAAAAAAAAAGAAGAAGAAGAAGAAGAAGAGTACAAGAGGCCAGCAGAGTGAGAGTCTGAGGGGGAGGAGGAGGAGGAGGAGCAGTGATAAAAGGATGGTGTTTCCCTGCAGGGTCATCAGTGGAACCAGAGATCCTGGGACACCTGTTCCTGTAGCAGATGTTAGCAAACTATCTCCCTCTCTGTTTATTTTACAGTGTGCAGCCCTGCTTCATAGCTCCACATGCTGTCGTGGGTTAAATTTGAATGGAAAATCTTTAGTCCGGCTCCTTAGACACCTGTCACTCTAAAAGTAACAGCCTGGCCTCAGCTTTCTCTAAGCGGCAGCTAACAGCTAACGTTTATGCAACGCAACGTAAAGCGTGATGGTGTTAGCGTTATTCTGTAGGGTTCGCTTAATCTAATCCTTGGAGCTTTATGAGGTGTGTGAGAGCAATTTGGACGAGTTTAGATTGAGCAGAGGTGTCGAGTGAAGGTTAAAAAAAGAACCTGACCTCTAAGGGTAAGTTTAAGGAACTACAAAATGTGTTCGGAGTTTGTACAGGGGGGCCGGGTCAGGAGCAGAGAGATGGAGCGTTCATGTGAACTAAGCACAAAGGCTAAGATGCTAATGCTAAACGCTAAATGCTTTTAGCCTTCTCTACGCCATCTATCGGGAAAATGTGGGCATTGCAGGGAAAAGGCAGAAGTATAATCACAGTACAAACTAATTATATAATTTGGACAAGTTTGGTGGGCCGGATTACAAAGCTAAACGGGCTGCACCCGGGCCCCTGGGCCTTAGTTTGCCCATGCGACCAATTAAAAAGTGGGCAAAATATATCAACAAAAAAAATTGACAGAGAAAATGAACTTACAGGAAGTAAAAATAATTATTTTGCTTGGAAACACCTTAAACGTAATTAGCTTTTATCTGGTGAATTAGCTTGAAATAGCCAAGTTATTTGCTCAAATTAGCTGGAGATAATTTTAAAAAAACTACTCAAAACTACAATAACGCACGAGTAATTCAAGATAAATTAAACTTGATCTGAATGCAGTAAAAATGTTAGGACAGCCAGTAAATACCAGACAAACGCCGACTAGACTGAGTTCGGACAAGGCTTAGCTACAACAAGAAAAAAATGTGTTTTTCTCGTTCCTCCTTCTTTAGAAGTGCACTGTACATGTAATAAACACACTGTTATGTGTTAACAGCAACAGCCGTTGACGAGAACCCCGTGACGTCGGGTTGGAGGAAAGACCACAAGAGATGTGGGGATGGTGCCGCTCGTAAAGAGATGCCTGGAATAATGGGGAAGGAATGTGGTGTAAAGACTCTCCTGGGACGGATCCAGCTGAAAGGCCCTCCTGCTCAGCAGCAACAAGAAGGAAATCTGAAGATTGTATGGTGGTGGTCACAAACCTTCACGACCCCAAAAAAATCTTTTGCGACCCACCTGGTGTCCGCACCCCAGTCTTTGGGAAACAATGAACTGCGCTAACCACTTTTTTTGTGTTTTTTTTTTTTTTCTCCACTTTAGAATGGTTTGATTTTAGTGTTAACTAGATGGATCGTAGATCTAATAAAAGTCCAGTCCTGGACAGAAGTCAACATCTCGTCCTGTTACATCACTAAACCCTTGAATGTTGCGGGGGAAGACAGACTCTTCATATCCACTGAGACAAAGTTCTGGCGTTGACAAGTCTTCAGACCAAAGTTTGTCCTCGAAGATGTGACCTTTGAAAGCATACACACATAATACAGATTCACACACAAGCGCACCCCCCCGAGCCCTCCTCCCAGCAACCCCCTCCGTCCCCCCTTTCCTGTGCCGACCTACTGGAGTCGGCTGTTTTTGTTGGCCGCCTGCCGCCCTCAGAAGAAGAACGCTCTCAGGCTCTCCCTGCTCTCCCTGTGTTCACTCCCTTTCTCTCCCTGTGAGCTGCCAGGGAAATGCTGATGACATTACATCGCCAGAAAGGTCCGGAGTGAAAGTGATCACCCGCCCACCCCCGTCCCTATGATCCCATTCCTCATCCACAGGTCTATGGCTTCACTGGATCTCCAACTTTTTCATCTTCGTCTCCGTCTACCGCGTGTATTAGCTCGCGTCTCTGCATTGAAATGCATGGATTTGAAGGTGTGTGTAGGTCACATGCTCTAACAGACCTTACACTCCAGTGTCTTAACAGCAAGGTGTGACATGTTCCTGTTGTCAAAGGGTCACAAATTAATGTAATACATATGGGAAATAACTGAGTTGATGCTTTTTCAGTTGCCAAAAAAAAACATGCGCACCTTCAGGTGAACTTCCTGGGTTTGAAATCTACGTAGTATCAGTAAGGAAAGAAGAAGTGATGAGGACATATCAGCTGAGACGTAGAGAAGGTTTTGAAGACTGAAGTTGAACCAAAGTGATGTCAGATTTAAGCTGAGACGTAGAGAAGGTTTTGAAGAGCAGCAATCTTAAAGACTGAAGTAGAACCAAAGTGATGTCAGATTTAAGCTCTAAATCCGAAGCTTTAACAAACCTACCATAGAAACATCCAACAAAATTGACCATGGGTTTGTCTCTCTCTAAGGTAGAGAGACAACTAACAACCATCTTCACAGAACAGAAAAGCCTCTGGGTGGAAGCAGTAGGTGGGAACACTCAACGTCAGAGAAAACAAGAACAAACCGAGACTGACATCGAAGAAGAAGATGCTAGAATCTTGGCTTCTCTGAAAAAGGAAGACCAAGCAGCAGCAGTGAAGACCCCGTGCTCCCACGGGGGGAGTAAAAATGGGTTGTTACTTGTCATCCCACGCCTGGATAAACAGGGAGGGTTGGAGTAGGAAGGCCGTTCGACTTAAACGCTGTGTCAAATGTAGGATTCCAAGCTGGGGCAAATAAATCCATACTTGGAATCTCCTGGTAGGGAAGGTACGGCAACAAACGGTCAAGTGTCGGGTCTGGAGGAGCGTCTGGTTATCATACCCAGGTACAGCAGTACTGGGTAGAAGAGCGTACAGTTATGTGTTACTAATAAATTCTCCAAAACGATGAAACGATCCATGTTGGAAAAGACTTTAGAAACCAAAGATTGGGTCGCGACCCTTGGGTAGATCGCAATAATTTTTTTTTTTGGGTCGTCTCACATCATGTTTCCCAGGAGTTTACGAATGATATCTATTGACTTTGGTCACGAAGGTTTGTGATTTTTAAAATATGGGTCCCCAGAAAAAAAGTTTGGGAAACACTGCTTTAGAAACATTAAGTAATGTCCAATATTTTGGATACTGGACGTTGAGTTAACGCTTGTTTTAACCTTAAATCATAACATGTTTCTATCTATGCATTTGGAACACACACACACACACACACACTGGCTCTTAACACGTCTGGTCTGAATTCCTGGGTTGTGTTGGTCACGCAATGAGCCGTGCAAGTGCTGAGTGCAGTCAGAAGAAGACGAAGAGGAAGAGGAAGACGAAGAGCAGCCTGAACAGACTGAAGGATGGAGTCAGGCTGCGCCGCCGCTGCTGTGTTTGGGCCACGGCCATCTTTACATTCAGTCTTTGATTCACAGCTTTGTCTCTGTTGCCAGAACCATTAAACCGCGGTGAACTCTGGATTTCCAGAGAATGACTTGGACGACAGAGAGAGGGGAAAAAAAAAAAAAAAGACTACATGAAGGAAATCTTTATAATTAAGACGATGAAAAAGTCAAAAGTGGGTCAAAAGTTTAATTTGTGGGGCTGTGTGTTTTTAATGTAAAACACACACCGCTACCATAAAAGGCCATCTGCGCTGAGCTGAAAGGTCCAAATCATTTTTGACTGGAGCAATATGTTGACTTTATTATGTTAAAGCTGATACTTTATTTTTATATCAGGTGGAATATTACAACTTTTTTTTTTTACTATTTCTATCCGCCAAAAAAATGAGCATAATGTCATGGAAAAACACCACTGGGAAAGAGACAGATAAAAATAATTACAGGGGCAGGATGCATGTCGCGGTGGT